TATCACCAATTTACCTGCCTCAACTTGTTACATATGGGAGCTACTTTCCAGTAGGGAGAACAATCCAAGCCAAATTCATGTGAGCACCACAGAAAGCAGAGTACAGAAACATCTGGGTACGGCACAGCCATCTAGCAACTTCACGTTTGGCCCGGAATGAATGTCGGAGTCCATTTTGAAAGCAGCCTTGCAGCTTTTTTACTTTCTGAAATACTGACACCATTCTCAAGTTTTGTGACAAAGAGAAAAATAATTTGGATTAATTTCTGGAAAATTTACCAACTTCTCCACACCGGGGTTTGAAAGCATGAAAATATTAGAACTCTGGCAAAGATCTCTTTGCATTTCTGGAAGACTACTCCTGCATCGGATGCAGACAGCTTAACCCAGAGCCAAAGGCTCCATGGGCAGCAGGTAAATTCAAGCCTTCTCCACAAGAATAAAGATTCATTGGCATTTACTCAGAGTTGTGGAGTTTCCCACTTTTGAAAATTGAGCTTTACATTGCCTCCACTGCATGTTTCACTGTCCCAAATTAGAAGAGGGAACAAGGGGGAAAAAAACCCCAAAACCTGCAGCCTCAGGTCTCCTGAAGTGACACTTGTGAGAATCGGGAGATATCCCACCACGTGCATCCAGTCTATCCAAAAGCGCTTGGATGATGAGCAAGCGCTGCTAGAGAGAAAGGCCAGGCTGCCTCTATTTTAGAAAAGGAAGCAGGGGGAAGTGGAGTTAACCAGTGACAACTGACCACCATCATCCCTTTATCTTCCTTTTACTTGTCTTTAACGTTCTCAGATGTGTTACATGACTGCCTGTAGAGCAGCGCGGATACCGCCGATGAGGACATGTCTCACAGAGGCCCCATCTGCAAAGAGGACATGGCCATGTGGAAAAGCTATTGCTGAACAGGAGACTATTGAATGGAGCAGAAAATGTATGTGTTGGGAAGATGCTATTAAGGGATCCAGATGGCATTGAGATGGTGTTAGGAGCAGAGCAGACAGAATACCAGCAAGTGTGACTAATAGGCATTGGCAAGGACATGAATTTCTTTTGAATTACTGTAACTCTACCCAGTCACTAAATCCACAGAAAACATTTAGGATTTACTGGGGTTGCAGTTCGACAGCAGAAAGAAAAAGTTCAGATTTGTTCCAGCTGAAAGGTCCTTCAGCTGTTGCCACTTAAGTCTTTAGTGAAGTTCTTTAAATATATGACTTTTATTTATAGTTTCTGAAATGCTAGTTTCTGCACAGCTATCACCTTCCCTCTAAAAGGCGCTAATGCCTAAATGCTCTCTGCTTTGCTATACCCCACAGTGCATGAACTCCACAGTTTGACCACTTTTCCTTTTCATAAGATCTGCAGAATATAAACAAATATGATTTCAGAGGGAGCAGCAAGAAGTGTGAGAAATGACAGCATTAGCACTGGCTTTTATTGTCTCTTCAGAAATGATGATGCTGGGAGAGAGTTTCACATTAAAAGTTATAAAAGGTCTGACGAAAGAGCACTTTGTTCTCAAGAGAAGGAGGAAAAACTGATAAAGTCTTTCAAGTTTCTCGGTGAAAATTTACTTTCCATACTAAAGAAAAATGAGACAAAAGATATATTTTTAAAAGCTCTCATTCACTCACAGGAGGTGAATACAGATTCAAAGGATTAATATGGATTTTTTTTTCTCCTTTATGTCTCTCCCGCTTTTGTTTTCAGAAGCTAGCTTCTACCCACGGGGTGTATATGGAAGTGCCTGGAGGCTCGCAGTCCCTTCCCCCAGAAGAGCAGATGCATCGTACCGTAGGTTACTGGGACTTCAAAGACCTTAATAAACTAGAGTAATGGAAATAACGCCCTCATTAGCTGCAGCATTTCTTGCCCCACTTTCCAATTTGAAAGTGTGTCTTCTTCCCCGTTTTCTGCCAGCAATCTGTAGAAGGAAGGAGTAACAGTGGAACTGGTGTTGCTCGCTCCTCCTTAGCAGCTATGTAAAATAGAGTAAACTGGTCCTGCTGAGGCCCACAAGGACACGGGAGGAGGGCGAGCACAGCAGACCCAGTTCCTTCCCATACAAGTCTTTGGTCTCCTCCAAAGCCCTTCTGCTCTTTAATTACAGCTGCCCAATTCGCCTCTGGTGCACGGAGAGGACACATCCATCCGAGCCACGAGGAGTGTTCTGGCGTGGACCTGAGCACGTTGTTCCTGAACCCCAAAAGCCTGGAGGAAGATGGTGATTTATCTTGCGCTCCTTTGAGAAGGAGCATCTTCTATGAAGAAAGAACGTGGCCCAGTTTCCTGTCCAACGCGCAGAAAACGCCAGAAAACACAAACTAAGGCCCAACCACATCCTTTGACTGCTGAAGTCAAGAAGCATAAGGAAAAAAAATCTTTCTGGAGTCGATGCTGCAATGCTGAATGGAGTGCTGAGAGTCTGAGAGGACACCTGAAGCAGTAACAGGAGCAGCAGTAAGGGAAAAGGAGCAGGGACCGGCTTAGCAATCCTCCAGCACAGAGAGCTCCAGCAGAAAGAGAACACTTTGCACCAAGTCATTTACTGTCAGAGCTAAGCAGTGAAAAGGGTGATTAAAACCAAAGACATGCTTTTTGGTACAGCTTTGTAGCTAAATGACTAGCATCGGGGCCTGGGACAAGTATTTACATCAGCCGTAACGACAATAAACAGTGGTTCAGTAAAAAGTGACAGAAAAAACAGGCTGGAATTAGATCCCTGGACTGCGGCCTCTGTGCATCTACAGCCTCAGGAGCACACGGTACTGAAATGGGAAAGTGAAGAAAAGAGAAAATACCACCGTGAAACAACTGCAGAAGCTTAGCCTCTTTACTGAAAGAGCTTTCCACGTACGGCTCATCGCTGGAGAGCAGCTCTGCACCATCAACGGCTTCACCGGGAACAGGCTCGTGCTTCCGTCAAACTTTGTGTGAAAGGTTTGACACAATTTCATGAAAGGAAGAGAGAGATGAGGCTAGCAGTCAAAGAAATTCTTTAAAAACAAAGAGAGAAAAACATTATCTAGGGGAGTTTAGGGCTACCTGTGAGCAGGACCAAACACCACAATCCCGCAGAAGCAGAACTTGCGAGCTCCACTTGTCCCTGCCCAGGGAACAGATTTTAATTCAGGGCAAACCCAGACATCTCTATCCCCACTGCCAAGAGCCTTCAGCAATATGAAGTGTTCCTGGAGTACGTGGCAACCCAGCTGCTCCCCCCTCCACACTCTGTCCCTGAAGCTGCTCAGTTAATAGATGGCAAATGCTGCTCGGTGAAGATAAACACCAAATAATGAGTCTTGGGGGTGAAAATAAAGAGACTGAACACCTCCTTCATTAAAGGGTGCTGCAGTCCACAGCAACCCAGGGAGGCAGAGACCATGGAGGTACTGTAGAAACACTCTGAAAACCTTCAGCTCCCAGAAGACAGCAAACAGGATGCTGGCTTTACTGATAGAGAGGCATATTATTAATCAGGAGTGACGGGTTTAATGTTGCCGAGGAGGTGCTGAATACTTCTGCAGCAGTATAAACATCAGGTTTCAGAGGGTCCAGCGTGCCTTAGCAAGGGAAAAAACTGAATGAGCTCAGTTCAAACAAACATCCACAATACACAAAAGCAGATGGAGACAGGTTTATCCCCCTGAAAAAGGGAAGCCATAGCATACTATCCTCTACTAGAAAGCATGACAGAATAAAAAAAAGAGAGATGTATGCCTTGGGTCTTCAGAACTATCACACCACTCTGAGGAACTATAGGAGTGAGTCCCTAAGATGGCGTGTACAGCCCTGAAATGTACTGGAATAGCTTAGCTGAACATGTGTTATTTTCAAACACCTCCCCTCTGCTATGGAACTGGGCTTTCAAAGCCGTAAAACAAGCTCCAGAGGCAAAGCACAGGAGCAAAGGCATAACGTACAGGCCAGTAATTCCTGCTTTCTGCAAGATTCTGCTTGCTGCAAAATCATGCTTTCAGACCTATGACGCAGTAAGGCTTCATAGTGATGGAGCTGAAAATATAAAAGAATTAAGAAGTGAAACTCCAGCCAAAGTCTTACATTAGCTGAGAATAAATCTCAGCTTGTCAAGATCTGATTTGCTCAGCTTAAATAAAAGGAACTTTATTAAACATTCAGAAACAGATGAACTTCTCTGTGCTCTGTATTTATTGTGTAAACTGATTTGGAACGGAAGCTGTAAACACTTTAATAAATACAGGGAAAGGTTGTGTAGCTTCACTGTAGCTTTTGTAAATGCTCATGTATTCTCTGCTGAAATGCTGATTTGTAACTTCTCTTTCACTGAATCACAACAGGTACCCCTCTGCCACCCGCAGCAATGCACGAGGGGAAACAGCCCTCTTTTATCTCCAGCTCTGCACACACACCAGTATTACAAAAGCTAGATTCTAAACCTTTTCACACACATGCCAACAGATCCTGTATTTACAGCTGAGATCTGGACAAAATAAGAAACAAATAGCAAAGCTGTTTCCACAGGAAAGTAAGTCAACAGGGGGAATAGTGATGCAGGAGCCAGTCTCCTGAAATAACTGAGAGCAAGAGACCCCAGACGTTAAAAGAAGAGAGCCTGCAGCCCCCCAAAAGATAGAAAAGCTTATAAAGTATCTCAATGCAGGAAAGATGGGGTTTGAGGCTTTCTGTTAATGCTTCATGGATTTCTCAGGTCCATAAAAGCTGGTGAGAAAGTGTGTTCAGGAAAAGAACATCCTACTTCAGAAATACAAGGAAAACACGTTCTGCTCAAAGCCACCACACTGCTCCCTGCAGAGCAGGCAGCCGATGTACATAGGCAGTCTATTTGCACACACTTTTTCACGCATCGTAGCATGGTGAGGTCCTGTACCTGGTGCTCTACCACAAGATGACAATAACCAGAGCAGGCAGTGAAACTACCCTGGGCATTTCCCTTCTCATTAGTTCCACTGAAAACAACAGAATCTTGTCTGCATTCCCCTTGCTTTGTCTACCTGAGTGTGTCCACCTCCTCCTTGGTGATGACGGCACTTTGCTCAGCTGTGCACTCTTGAGACTTCAGGACCTTCATCTCCACCTCCAGCTGCAGGAGAGAAGAGGCGTTAGTTCCTCCAGTACTAATAATGGGGACACACGAACAGCAAAGGGAGGAGGAAGAAATCATGATGTTCTGCACATTTCAGACCTCTCTCAGGATACAGATGTGAAGCACAACTCCATGTGCTGAATATCAAAACCGCAGTTAACCCTGCTTCCCTTTGCAACCCCTTTTGCCTTCCCCAGTATTTCCTCCACAGGAGATGAGGCACAGAAAGCTTATTGTTTCAAAGCAAAGCTTCTGATTCTTTTCCAGATACTTCCCTAACCCGTCCCCATTGGATAATGGGGGATGCAGAGAATTATTTGTGCGTTTTTCGGAGCTCGTTGGTACCCGAGATTCAGTATTGACAGTTCTACCTCATTCCTCCGCAGAAGAAATGAACCACAGGGTTATGCTGTCTTGCTCAGAACAACTGAGAAACGTACATTGAACTGAAAAGACTGGGGAATATTTCCAGCACTTTCCAATACACACTTCTAGCTCAAGCTGCTCAGGTAGGTCTGGTGGAACAAACAATTAAGAATACTTTCTGCCTCTGGCCTTGCTTGGGAAGGAACTCACAAGAAAGTACTTCAAAACTCTACAGACATGAAAACTTCTTATCCAGACTCTACCGTTCCCGGGCTCCCTAGCTTACGGGAATCTGTACCCCTAATTCAGCTACCAAGACAATGCACAGATTGATAAATGACATAAGTTACTTGTTTCTAAAGCCCTCAGAAAATGATTTATTACGAAGTGTAAGCAGAGACAAACTACCTAGAGGATACACAAACTTCTGTTCCAGCACCATCTCCCAGCTTAGACCTCCTTTACACTCATCCTTCAGATTTTGGATTTTCTTTTGTCATCTGTCTTTTGGCACCCAGCAACTAATTCCTCTAATAAATCTATAGACACAAACTATATTTTTCACTCAGGAGGAAAACAATAAGCCATCCAACCCTAATTATAGATGCAAAACTTCTGACCAGAGAGCGCTCAGTGCTCAGCATCAGGGAAACAATCCATTAACACACCGTTCCATCAATACACCAAGCCCTTCAACAGCACTGATGAGACTCGTAGAGCAAAATTCCATTGCAACGGCAAGGTTCCTGCAAAGGCAGCAAGCTGGCAGAAACTCCCCAATTTTACAAGGAAGAGGAGCACGTTAACACGCGTGGTCATATTGCTCAGCCAGAACTGAAATTTTGACATGCTGCCTCTTTGCCCTTCCAGGCTTACCAGAAAAGACAGACAGAGCGTGGCAGCACTGTTAGCAGCAAAGGGCAGACAAGGCATGGTTGGATTATTCCCCCTCGCCTTTCTGACACCATCGGGACGGAGCAGAAGACAGATGGCAGAAAAGAGGTGGTAGCTGAGTTTCCCCCCGGCACCCCGAAGCCCTGCATTCTCCCCCCTGCCTGGCAAAAGGCATCTAGGAAGAAAAAAACATGCCAAGGCCCACCTGCATCATCAGGCTGTACAAATGTTAATGTATATTAGCTGCTTGATAAGATTATCACAGCCAGAAATGCTTCCCTCAATTTTCTGATTACTGAGCTTATCTCTCCCAGCTCAGCCCATCACAGATGGCTGGGGATAAAGCAAGAGTGCCAGATAATTCCAGGAATGTGAATAAAAGGTACAGGGATGAGGAGCAGGCTTCAATTCCAACCTACTTTGAGCAGGAAAACACTCATTATATAGCTCCCGCTTCCCGTGCCTGCTGAAGCCTGGATGTGTTTGCTATTTAAGAGTTTCGTGCTGCTTTCTGGACTGCATGTGGACAGCATTTGAAGATGGAAGGGCTGGTAAATATGTTATTTATCACAGGCTAAACGGGCTCAGCCTTGAGTCCAGCTGCCACCTGCTCACCGACACGAGCAGATAAATCATGGCCACCTTCTCGGGGGAGCAGGGCGGACGGAGGGGGTGGGCGAGCAATCTGCTGTTGTGATCTGGGGTCCCTTGCGTTGGCTGCATAGGGAGGAAAAAAATGGAGTGTGTAATGGGAAAAGGAGACGAGAGACTGAATGCACACGCTTGCGAGTGAACGCTGCTGTGAAAAGCATCAGCGCAGGGCTCGCCCGATAGACAGCGGTGACAAACGAGTGCCAGGTACGCTCAGCAGCAGCCTGATGAGATTCTGCCGGGTTTCTACGCATAAGCCATAGAAAGAAACTGAGGAGGGAAGGGCACAGGGACTGTAAGGGCATTTTCTGTCACTCCTCTGCTCTCCCAATTTTCAAGCGCCAAAACTACCTGGACTGAAAAACTGACGAGCCTGAGGTGAGAAGGGAGAGGAGGGCACGGTGACATCTTTATAGGTGAAACTGGCTCGAGCAGTTAAACATTGACACAGCCCTGCTTCCCTCAGCTAGGCTTAGAACTACGGGAGAGTTTCAAGTTCAGGCCAAGACACAACTTTGTGCCACAGCAAAATATTGTTATAAAAACCTCATTAATCGTTTACGAAAAAAAGAAACTAAACCAATTATGGTATTAAATATTTCATTCCAAATATGCTGCTTGTTTACTGTAATTGTCAGGGTTTCAGTGAGGAAAACATCCCTGCCTGACAATCTCACAGAAGATATTAAAAATGTTATTTATGTCTTTTCCGGGGCAGGGGGGGGAACAAAACAGTTAGTTGAGATAACACAGAGTGGCTTATTGTTGGGATCTAACTCTGCTTTTCCCAAGGCAGCACAGTGCAGGTAAACAGGTCTTCACAAAACAAGAATGAAGAGAACAGGAAAAAAGAGTAAAAAATAAGGAATCCGTTGACAAAACCTTCCTCTTCCTTGTAGTTTCACCTGCTGGAGAAGCCAAGCAGCCCATGATCTCACCAGCCGCCTGTCAGCTCCGACACACTTGTACCAGCAGTCAAGCAGAAAGCAGAGCAAAAAGAACGAAAAGCAGCAGAACTGAATGAGGAAAACAAGCCACAGGCAGGCAGCAATAGGAGAAATACAACCCCATACTCTACAGAACGTTCAGCACTATGCGGAAGCCTAAGAGGTGTGGGGGGTTACTGAGACCATTCCGTTCGACACAGCCTCTCAGGGCAGCTCCGGGGACCAGGGGGTAAGCATGAAATGACTTGTCCCTTCCTGTCCACTCGTCCTCTCGGTACCAGTGGCAAAGAACGGCCTCAAGAAGGGCTAAGAATAGGCAGAGCCAACCTCCTCTTGCTGTTTTCTCTGCCTAATTCCCATCACCTCCCTTTTCCTCAATTAATTTCCAGTCCCAGGCTCTCTTGTTCACCAGATGCCACTTTCAGCAGGCATTTTCTGCTCTTTGGACTAACTCAACATTCCTGTCTAAACTCTTCTGATTTTTGTCAATAATTTTCTATAACTGGCTGAGTTAAACTTTTATTACTTTGAATACATTAAACTAGGAGAAGCTATTACCCAGCAGAGAGGGGAAAAGGGCTGCTCAAATTACAGCCCGTTGCTGTATTCCCCCATTCAGTACCAAATGACCTAGGTCAGGCTTGGATCCTTCAGCTCTCTTTTATGTTGAACTGGCTCTTTTAGCCAGCATTGAGAGCAGAGAGAGAACACTGTCCCGAAATACAGCGTTGCATCTCTTACCCTGCAAACTGCACAAGAGAGACCTAAGTACCTACAGCTCGTGGAGGAGCTTCAGGGTTAATATTGCCCAGGATCAGCCCTCCAGTGATATCTCCCCTGTACAGAACACATTAGCAATCTGAAAAGAAACCAAGCTGCTATTTTAATTTTTTTTAAAGTTATCCAAGGTTTTTATGACACTAAAAAAGGCAGAATAATAAGTGATGTCAGAGCCCATGCCTTGTGAATAGACCACATAAACAGGTACTTAACATTTTGACTATGCAATGTTCTCTTCTCAGAATACACTGGAGCCTCTTGCTCTCAACCTAAAATGATCCCATTTATCCCAAACCTTTTCTACTCTCTTTCACTTCATAAGCATGAATTTCAGTCCAGCTTTATTGCTCTCAATAGAAAGTGATCAGGACAAATTCAAAATATAGGGTAATTTTAGAATGTCCCCTTCCACAAATATACAAGTACCCCAAAAGATTAAATGCAAATACTTCTTCCAAAATAAGTACTGTCCTCAACTGAGAGAGGAAGGAAGAACGTGGATGGATTTTCGTCTAGTAATTAAATGAAGCATCGTTCTTCTTTCAGCCTTACTTCTAAACCTGCCTGGACAGGATTTCAAGATGGTGGTTCTCCTCCAAGTGTTAATGACATAGCAAACACCCACAGCAGTGTAAAAAATATGTTCCTTGCTGGTTCTCTCTTCTGTAGGAATTATTTAAAGATATGTGAGATGACAGGAGAAACATAAAATTATAAATTCATCTCTTGACAGCTAGAAGAAACAAAATGTTACGTTAGGGAGCTGATTTTCTTCGTATATTTCTGGCATTTGTCATTTCTGACCCATATTTGTCCTCTCCAAAACAAGTACTCTGAGCCTCTGCAATGCCACGGACCTGCTGTTCCTCCCACTTGGTTCCAGTGGGCGATGAAGTCAAGCCTTTCCAAAGCCTCCTCATGATCTCCTGTCCACACCCCATCTTCAAAACAAGACTTCTCACTGGACTTAAACTTCTAAATCAAAACAGTTCCCCTTAAAAACCACATTTATAAGCTTCTGAAAATTTTAACACACTGCTCAAAGTAATGACCAAATCTCTGTTCAGGTACCTCATTTTGGGTAGTAAAGGACTCAAAATCTAAAGTCTTTCATCTCACTGCTGAAGTTAGGATTTGCATGTTGGAAATGAGAGGCTGGTTTCTTCGCCCACATCATAGACACGTATTTCACAGAACACATGCTGGAGACACACAGTTATTATTTGAATAATGAGTGCATTTTAGTGAGGGGCTGATACAGCAGTCTTATCCTGATGAAGTGTGTCTCCACGTCATTCAGCATTCTTGGAACTGTAAAAGGCAGGAAATGCTGAATCCATTAGAAATGTCTAAAGGTTT